GCGGATTGCGAGAAATGCAGCGCACGCTCCGCGAAGAACTTGGAAGAAAGCAAGGCCACATGCACCAAAAGTCTTTGTTAGATTTCTTCGGATGTCTTGTGCAGTTATGACTTTTCCATAGTTAAGAACCCCAGAATAGGAATATTTGACTTTAAATGTATTCCATTTTACTATTGAGGGGTGAGAGGGAATAATTTTTGGGGTTTGTGGTCCGCTAATTTATTGCTATTGAGGGAGTATTCCATTTCTAGGGATTACTACCGAGGGGATCGTTTGTACCTGTTCGTATCTTTTCACTCCAGAACCATTCAATGCAATAGTGCTGGACGCATTTGGAATGCGCAATTACTCTGCGTAATGTCACGCCACAATGTCTATAAGTTTGTATGCTGTGGCTGACAAAGGACTGTGATAGGCTATTAAGTTGATTAATTGATATAATTGGCTATTTATTGCAGTCACCACTACCAACCAAAGGAGGAAGAGGCCTGTGTGCGCATTCAAAGGAAAAGGCGAAGGATGTGATGGAAGAGATAGTTTGAGACCATCTCACTTTCCGAACTGACGGCAACTACACAGTCTACTGTTTCAAATGCAACAACGAAGCCTATGGCTGCTGAAGGAAGAAACACGAGCAGCCTCGAACGCTTTAATGGCAAAGGGATCGCCATGTGGAGGGATAAGCTTTTGACTCACGTCAATCATCTTGACCAGTTGCACAAAAGAAAGCAACTTGAGAAAGGTGCATGTCTTGATGGCAAACTTCCTACATGGAACGCCAGAGAAGCCCCCACCTGTCACAGAACAGAACAATTTGTCTGAGAAGGAGACGATTGCAATGCGGTGGATTGGGAAGGGGTAGAGGCGACCTACAGAACCTTCTGAACCAGGTCCTACCAGAACTTCTTTTTGTCCACGCTACCCGACCTAGTGTCTCACATGGAGCCCTGTGATGTTCTAAGGTCTCTGGAGAAAGATTTTGGTCAAGGGGATGCGGCTGGACTGATTAAACTGACCCGAGCTTGGTCAAAGTTAGTTCGAAGCCAGTGGCGTGATCTTAGGACGCTATTTGGTCAGTTCAAAAAGGCTAGAAACGAGATCAACCGGACAACTCAAAAGCTGCTGGGACAAAACATGGTAACCGAGCCATGGCTCTGCGTTGAAGTCCTTTCCCAACTGCCCAGTAAATTTTGGGCCTCGTCGATCTCTATTAAGCAAGGTGATTTTACTGTGGAAAAGGTAGAGAGTGCGGTCCGTCGCATTTTTGGGGAAAGCCAAAAACGGAAATCACCATGGACAAAAGCTCGACCATCCCAATCAACAACGCCCATGCTCAACAAGGATAAAAAAGGAAGCGTAGCGCAAAACTGGAGGACGAGTGCCATTACTGTTTCGAAAAAGGGTACTTTAAGACCGACTCTCCGACGAGAGCCATAGACCAGGACAAACAAAGAGAAGGCGGTCCATTATGTAGGACTGACATTAAGACTGCTAAAAGGGCTCGGAAGGGAAAAGGTGCCATAAAGAATACCCTGAAAGCTGTGGTATCCGATGGCGAGAGGCGACTAAATGATGACGGACAGACGCAGCTTGACGAGAGCATGGACAAAGAGGATGATGTTGAAAGTGAAGATCTTGCGTGTCACGATGAAGGTGACGTCCCCATGAGTGAGCAAGGGAGCGAATTGCCAATGGATCTGGACATGACTGAGCAAGAGGTAAGGCAAAAGGATGTCGTATATTTAAGGAAGTTAAAAGAACTCAGGCTAACCGATGACTTATGGGTCGTGGATACAGGGGCTGGCCATGCTGTGACCCCTAGTAAAGGGTGGTTCACGAGGCTGCGGCAAAGCCAGGGTCATCGGTTTACGTACGGTGATGGTACTACTTCTCAGAGTACTCTAATTGGTTCGGTCCAGACTAGTATTCTTACCTCTACTGGAAAAAGAGAGATTATAACACTGAATGAAGTAGCACATGACAACCAGTGTGATAGTAATTTGCTTAGCGCGTATCACTTGGCAAAGCAGGGCTACAGGTACCAACAATCTAAAACGGGGGATTTATTATTCTTCTTAGACAAAAGTATGAGATTAAAAATTGCTACTTTAGCATAAGGCAACATTTACTAGTTGCCAAGTACTAAAGTAACAAAGAAAAGGGTCCTCACGGTAAAGACCAAGAATTATGAGCGCCTAATTAAAGAATGGCATATAAGACTGAGTCTTATAGGCCATGACAGGTTACTGAGGATAATGTGCAGTCATAAAACAAACCAAGCCAGTAGTGCGGCCTTCGCACAGCTTAAAAGCCTACAATTTCTGTAAAACGTGCACAGAAATGAAGGACCGCCGAATGTCCTGGTAGGAGAAAAGTCTACAGATCCATTGCATACATTGCATATGGACACCATAGGAAAGTTAAAAGTAAATGGTCTATACGGTACCTTTGGTTTTAGATACGCTCTTGCGGTAGTTGACGATGATACTGCATACAAATAGTATTTCGTGCTAAAAAGTCTAAAGGAAGTACCGGGCAAAATTAAGGAATTGTTAAAGAAGTTGTCAGTACAATTCCCTTACACCGTATAAAGAATAAGAACCGATGGTGGAACAGAATTTGTAAATGAACAAATTTCAAATCTGTGTGCTAAAAATGGCATTTTTTTTCCAGAGATCTAATGTAGAATCACAAAAAAATAAAATGGTAGTGCAGAAAGAGCACATCAGTCAGTGGTGGCCGGTGTTCGCTGTGTACTTAGAGGCACCAAAATGGCATGTAAGTGGTGGCCAGAGGCATTGCTCTACATGGTGGACGTAACAAATCGTCTTCCCATGAAGAGATTAGAAATGAAAAGCCCGTATGAAATGCTCCGTAAAGAAAAGGCAAAAGGTTTAGAGTTACAAATTTGGGGTACCACATGATATGCCCAAATTCCGAAATCAAAAAGACGGAAAAAAGTGAGCAGCAGATCGGTGGAGTGCAAACTTCTCGGACTATCTCACAATTATAAAGGTTATCGGCTGCTAGAGGTCATAAATAATAAGTACTCATAGCAAGGGACGTGAAGTTTATCTCCGTGGCAACAACAGCCAGAGTCGTTCCCAGCTGAGGAGCGCTCAATTACTCAAGAAGAGGAGCTAAATATTTCTAGTTTAGGAAAGCGATCTAGAGATCCAGATTGGAACAGTGTGGCAGTCGTACCTTTAGAAGACATGCCGGGATCACTCACAGAACCGATATTATCAATAGTGGGGGATGGGATAGCCCCTGCTAGACAGTGCGTCGCTCCAAAAGAATTCGAACACCGAATTTGCGACTAAAAGGATTTATGACAGAGCTAAGTCTGGTTTCTGTAACGCAGCCTCATATACCTATTTCTAAATCTATAAAGGAGGCTAGGGCTGGACCACATTCAAAACAGTGGGAGGCAGCGATTAAGACAGAATTTGAAGCACTGCTAATAAATTAAACGTGGACACTATTTCCACTTCCACCAGGTCGCAAGGTACCGGGATGTCATTGGCTATTTGATGTCAAAT